AAGCTACACTGCGTTTGGGAAGGCCTGCTCATATAGCCAGGTTTTAACTTTTTTGCAAAATGTTAAGAGGGTGGGGGCTGATCTAATGTCCCTGGGGAGGGCATTCCACATCCGAGGGGCCACCGCTGAGAAGGCCCTATCCCTCGTCCCCGCTAATCGAACCTGCGAAGATGGCAGGGCCGAGAGCAGGGCCTCCCCAGAAGATCTTAAATTCCTAGAGGGTTCGTAAGGAGAGATACGTTCGGACAGGTAAGCAGGGCCAGAACCGTTTAGGGCTTTAAAGGCTAAAGCCAGCACTTTGAATTGTGTTCGGTAGCAGATTGGCAGCCAGTGGAGCTGGTGCAACAGAGGAGTTGTATGCTCCCTGAGTGCCGCTCCTGTTAGCAACCTGGCTGCCACCGTTGGACCATTTGAAGCTTCCGAACAGTCTTCAAAGGCAACCCCACGTAGAGAGCGTTGCAGTAGTCTATACGGGATGTAACCAGAGCATGAACTACAGTGGCTTTATAACCTTGATAACATTGGTATCTCTATGGATGTCCTGATCCTCAAACACTCTGCTTCATTTGTAAAAATGCTGTAGTGCTCAGGCATTGTTGTATTTCAGTGTCGATGATGACTTTGGTGAAAAGGTGGCTGCCAAGGTTGCGGAAATGGTCAACATTAATCTGTATTTCTAGCATTGCAGAGGGATTGGTTGGTGGCTTCTGGAAGAGCACTTTGGTTTTCTGACTGTTCAATGAGAGATCGAGCTTCCTGAATGCTTCTGCAAAGGCGTTTTGAGTGGTTTGTAGGTCTTCTTTTGAATGTGCACAGACTACGTTGTCATCAGCATATTGGAGTTCTATAACAGATGTTGTTGTGACTTTGGTTTTAGCATTCAGTCTACTGAAGTGAAATAGCTTGCTATCTGTCAGATGGAGAGAAAAATCATTCTAGGATCAGAACTCTGAGGCCATTTCTGCTCGCCCCCACTTCAGTTGAGCGAACTTACAGGTAGGGGTTCCCGTTCCTGGTCTTCACCAAAATGGGTGCCATATTTATTTATTTATTTATTTCGGGCATTTCTACCCTGCCCTTCTCAACCCCTGAGGGGGCACTCAGGGCGGCTTACAACCGGCACAATTCGATGCCAACAATTCAACAGATAAATTACATAACAGTAATAACCACAATAGTTAAAACAATCAATTAAAACAATAACAATTAAAAGCCAATGGCCTGGTCCCATATCCATGTTTTCAGCTTCCTTCTGAAGGAGAGGAGGGATGTTGATGACCTAACTTCCCCGGGAAGTGAATTCCACAGGCGAGGGGCCACCACTGAGAAGGCCCTGTCCCTCGTCCCCACCAGCCTCACTTGTGATAGAGGTGGGGCCGAGAGCAGGGCCTCCCCAGAAGATCTTAAACTCCAAGGTGGGACATAGAAGGAGATACGTTCAGACAGGTACACTGGGCCAGAGCCGTATAGGGTGCACACCAAGATGTTAAATTACATCCCCATTCCCTAATGAAAACCTATTTAAGGCAACACCCAATGCCAATTTCACAAAAAACCCCAACAATGTAGGTTAGGCAAAAAACCCAACATTAAAAAAGGGGGGTTCCTTTCTGGCTCCAAAGCGACCCCCTACTATCATGTTACACTGTTAAAGGGTGGGATGAGTGGGCCAATGTCCAAGCTGGAACAAAGAGATAAAACTGGGGTGTCAATCTACCTGACCAGGCTCTGCTCCCAACTTCTTCTATGTTGCTTGCCTTGATTCATTGAGGAGGAAAATAGCCCTCCTCTCCAAGACTTGGCAGAAGGGGAAAGCAAATTATAAGGTTTATCCAAGGTGGGTTTGGGGAAAAGATTTGTGACTGCTCTCCGGTCAAAACGAAATCCCAGTCCACGCAATGCCTGAACAGGTGGAACACAATATAGTAAGGAAGACTTACAGCATTGTAACTTACTAACAGGACGCCGTTTCCTAGAAGCTGGAGTCTATAAAAGCTACGCTCCTGAGCCGCTAAAGCTGTGAGATGTTCTGATCATTGAACAATAGATGGGGAATGTATATCTTTCCAGCTTTGCAGTACAAGTCTTTTAGCAAGAATCTGGGCACATCGACCATTTTTGCTCAATCCCATGTCTCCAGGAAATAATCTAAATAAACACCTGTGTCTACAAACATCAAAGACGTTTATTTTTCTCTTTTTTTTCTCCTTTCTCGTTTCTGCCATTTGGAGGTGGGAGTAATTATACCTTTAAAAATCCAATAAAAATGTTTTTTTAATCTTGTTGTTGGTTATTGTTGTTGCCGCAACAGGCCCCGGTGGGTCACGGGGTAATCACTAAAACGCCGCAAATGAAATAAAAAATAAAATTATTGTTATTAATTTACATCCCGCCTCTGTCCCAGCCGTGGGAATTATGGAGATAAAAGCTCGCAGGAGTGAAAACACACAAAATAAAAGGACCCATAGAATTAAAAGCCATTTGAGGGGAATAAAACATATCCATTAAAAAAGAGGAAAGGCAGCCTATTTGCTTAAAACCTCTTCAGCTGAGCAAGTACATTATCGAAGCAGCTCTTGAGTGAGCTCCTTGCTGTGTGGCAACAGAGCTTGGGAAAGTGGCTTTTTTTGGACTGCAACTCCCAGTATCCACCAGCTAGAGCTGACTGGAGGATTCTGGAAAATGCAAACCACAAAAGGTCTCTTTTGGGGTGCAGTGACTTCTAGGAAAAATTGTTTTAAGGCCTGTAACTCTTTATTTTTAATACGGCTCATGTTTAATTCTATTTTAGTGTATGTATATGTTTAGGTTTTACATTATATTGTATTAGTGTCATTGTGAGGTGCTTTGAGTCTCTTTTCAGAGCAGAGTTTCTCAACCTAGGGATCGGGACCCTGGGGGATGGGGTGAGTGCCCCCTTTAGCCCTAGCTCCTGCCAACCTAGCAGATTGTAAGCATGCAAATGTGAGTAGATCATTAGGTACTGCCTCGGTGGGAAGGCAAAAAGTCATGCTGACCACACAACCAGGAGGCGTCCATGGACAACACGGGCTCCTCAACTTGGAAATGGAGATGAACACCTCCCCCAGAGCCGGAGTTGAGTACCACTTCCAGAGCCGGAAATGAAAGGAGAAGCCTTTGCCTGTGTTGTTTGTGTTTCATTTTATTACATTGTAACAAGGCATTGAATGTTTGCCTGTGCCTATTTATTTATTTACAGCATTTATATACCGCTTTTCTCACCCCTAGGGGGACTCAAAGCGGTTTACACATAGATAATGGCAAAAATTCAATGCCTAACAACTACAATATTAAAACCATACTTTAAACATAAATCATATTAAAAACAGTACATCATCAAATATCAAAACAGTTATTAAAAGCATAAAACAATCTCATCAGTTGAGTCGCTGTTCCAGTCCTTGTCCCACTAAAAGCTGCATACATCTATTGTCCGAAAGCCTGGTCTCAGAACCATGATTTTAATTTTTTTTTTCTAAAGGTCAGGAGCGAGGGAGCAGATCTTACCTCCTTTGGGAGTGTGTTCCATAGGGGGGGGGCACAGCCGAGAAGGCCCCGCTCCTCGTCCCCTCCAGCCGCATTTGCACTGTTGATGGGCCTCCCCAGATGATCTTAAATTGCGAGGTGGGACATAGGGGCAGATGCATTCGGACAAGTAAGCTGGGCCTGAACCGTATAGAGCTTTATAGGTTAAAACCAGCACTTTGAATTGGGCTCGGAGATGGACCGGCAGCCAGTGGAGCTGGCATAGCAAGGGGGTGGTATGCTCCCTGTATGCCAGCCCGGTTAGTAATCTGGCTGCCACCCGTTGAACTAACTGAAGTTTCCGAACTGTCTTCAAAGGCAGCCCCACGTAGAACATGTTGCAGTAATCTATTTGGGATGTAACCAGAGCATGGACCACCGTGGCCAGATCAGACTTACCAAGGTATGGGTGCAGCTGGTGCACGAGTTTTAACTGTGTAAAAGCTCCCCTGGCCACCGCCAAAACCTGGGGTTCCAGGCTCAGCGAATTTATATCAGTGTTTCTCAACCTGGGAGTCGGGGGGTGGTAACATGGGGGTGTTAGAGGGGTCTCCAAAGACCATCAGAAAACACAATATTTTCTGTTGGTCATGGCGGTTCTGTGTGGAAAGTTTGGTCCAATTCAATGGTTGGTGGGGTTCAGAATGCTCTTTGATTGTAGGTGAACTATAAATCCCAGCAACTACAACTCCTAAATGCCAAGGATTTTCCCCCCAAATTCCACCAGCATTCACATTTGGCCATATTGAGTATTTATGCCAAGTTTGATCCAAACCCATCATTGTTTGATTCCACAGTGCTCTCTGGATGTAGGTGAACTACAACTCCCAAACTCAAAGTTAATGCCCACCAAACCCTTCCAGTATTTTCTGTTGGTCATGGGAGTTCTGTGTGCTAAGTTTGACTCAATTCCATCATTGGTGGAGTTCAGAATGGTCTTTGATTGTAGGTGAACTATAAATCCCAGCAACTCAAACTACCAAATGTCAAGGTCTATTTCCCCCAAACTCCATCAGTTTTCACATTTGAATATACTGAATATTCATGCCAAGTTTCCATATCATGCCAAGTTTCCATTCATGCCAAGTTTCCATATTCATGCCAAGTTTTCATGCCAAGTTTCCAAGTTTCCATGCCATATCTAACATTGTTTGAGTCCACAGTGCTCTTTGGATGTAGGTGAACTACAACTCCAAAACTCAAAGTTAATGCCCACTAAACCCGTCCAGTATTTTCTGTTGGTCATGGGAGTTCTGTGTATCAAGTCTGGCCCAACTGAGCCCTGGTGCAAGATTTTGATCTGTCTATAATTCCATGTTTTATTTTAGAGATTGCAGAATGAAACATTTGTGCAAAAGAGATGTGATAATGAGCATTTCTCTCTCCTTTCTGAACAGGGCCTATGTAGGGACTTGCACCTCTTGCTTGAAACGTCTTCCTTTTTCCCATTGCAGAAAAGCCATTGCCCAGAGCAGGGGCAGGGGGCCTCTTGGGCATCTTGGGCATGGTGATTGCAGCCGTCCTCATTGTTGGTGTTGCCACAATAGTCTTTGTTGTCTACCGGCGACAGCAGAAGAGCCGCACAGAAGCGGACCATGACCTGTGAGTATTACCGTATGTGCCTTGACATAACCTCTCTTCAAAAGTGGAAAGTAGCCATCTATTCAGACTTTATGGAGGGAGAAATACTAACAGCTAGGGCTGGGTGGTTTCGTTCGTTAATTTCGTAATTCGTTATTAATTCGTATTTAAATTAGCTTACGATCCGATATTGAGCCATGCAGGAATAGTGTGAGGAGTAAATTAGATTCGAAACAATTTTTTCAATTTATTTCATTATTGTTTCGTTATTGTTTCGAAATTATTTCGTAATTATTTCGTAATTATTTCGTAATTATTTTCGCATGTCTGGTGCAAGTTTTATAGTTGTTGTTTGTTTTATCACACCAACAGTCAACAACAGAGGGAGAGGGAAGCTTCAGAAGTTCCCCCTGTCCCATTTGGAGGTTTTTTTAGCATATTGCGCAATTGCGTCCACCATTAACGAATTGATTCGAAATTAACGAAATTTCGTAAATAACAAAATTTTGAAATCTCAAAATTTTGGAAGTATTTAGAATTTGGAAATGCTAGCACCCCCTGGAAACAAATCGAGTTTAGAAACAAATTTTTCCGTGGTTACCCAGCCCTACTAACAGCATTAGGGATGATTGGATATAGTACTCTCTTGGATATAAATAATACCTGCAGTGTTTCTCATCCCCAATGGGGAAAATGCCTTGATACAATATTGTCACCTTTGCTACCATTTACATCAAGGAAATGGTCAATAACCACAATATTATTTTATTTTTTTTCATTGCAGGGCTTTCTATAGAATATTTGCATCAAAAATCTAGCTTTCTCTGCACAAAGGATCAGTTTTTGCACTAATTTGTGCAGTTTACTTGTCCAAACGTATCTCTCCCTATGAACCACCATGCCAAGTTTGATCCAAATCCATCATTGTTTGAGTCCACAGTGCTGTTTGGATGTAGGTGAACTACAACTCCAAAACTCAAAGTTAATGCCCACCAAACCCTTCCAATATATTCTGTTGGTCATGGGAGTTCTGTGTGCTAAGTTTGACCCAATTCCATCATTGGTGGAATTCAGAATGGTCTTTGATTGTAGGTGAACTTGAACTATAAATCCCAGAAACTACAACTCCTAAATGCCAAGGTTTATCTTCCCCAAATTCCATCAGTATTCACATTTGGCCACATTGAGCATTCATGCCAAGTTTGATCCAAATCCATCATCTGGGGAGGTCCTGCTCTTGGTCCCACCTCCACAGTCACGACTGGTGGGGACGAGAGACAGGGCCTTCTCCGTGGTGGCTCCTTGCTGTGGAACTCCCTCTCCAATGTTATTAGAGCTGCCTCCTGCTTCCTGACCTTTTGTAAAAAAAACTCAAATCCTGGCTATGGAATCAAGCGTTTGAACAATAGATGGATCAACTTGGAAGAGAATGTTTTAATTGACCGCAGTGGATTGATCTGGACTATGATTTTGAACTGGTGAACTGTTTTTAAGTTGAATGTTTGCAACTGTTTTAACTGTCTTAATTGTATCTATGATTTTTAATGTATTGTGTTGGCATCTAAAGGCATCTATTGTAAGCCATCCTGAGTCCCTTTTCAGAGGTGAGGAGGACAGGAGATAAATGCTTGAAATAAATAAATAAATAAATAAATAAATAAATAAATACAATGCAACCCCTATATCTACAGGGATATGTTCCAAGACTCCCTATGGATACCTAAAGCTGTAGATAATAGCCAACCCTATATTTTGACTACATCCAATCTGGAAACAGTCCATAGAATAACTCTGGAGGAGCTAGAAAGGACCACAAACACTTCTGGGGGGGGGGCATATTCTTGGGAGCATGGATAAGTGAAACTGTGGATATCAGGTCCATGGATAAGGGGGTTGTACTGTATTTGATTTCTGGAAAGGCACTGCCCTATGCACAGATACGCCTTTTCATGCAAAACAATCCAACTTTATTTCAAGTGAAGTTCTGAATGGCACAAAAATATTGAGAAAATGCACAATATATCGTTTTTCCATTTCTTTGCATATGCATAGTAGTATAGGCCAAGTGTGTCAGTTTCTTGGACATACATTTGAGAAGACATTGGTTCAACGTTAAAATCAGCCAACAGTAAGTAAGTTGTAATCTTATTTATTTATTTACAACATTTCTATACTGCTTTTCTCACCCCGAAGGGGACTCAAAGCGGTTTCCACATAGGTAATGGCAAAATTCAATGCCAGCACAAACAATTACAATTATACAATTACAGTTAGACATAAATCAAATTATAATACATCCATAAACAGTAAAACAATAATTAAAACAGTAAAACAGTCTCATCTGTCGAATCGCCGTTCCAGTCATTGTCTTTCCGAAATGCTGCATAGATTTGTTTCTACTGCGTGAAGGCCTGGTCCCAAAACCATGTTTTTAATTTTTTTCCTAAAAGCCAGGAGGGAGGGAGCGGATCTTACTTCATTTTGGAGAGTGTTCCATAGGGAGCGGATCTTAACTCATTTGGGAGAGTGTTCCATAGGTGGGGGGCCACAGCCGAGAAGGCCCTGTCTCTCGTCCCCACCAGGTGCATTTGTGCTGTTGACAGGAGCAAGAGCAGGGCCTCCCCAGATGATCTTAGATTACGAGGTGGGTTATAGGGGTGGATGTGTTTGGACAAGTAAGCTAGGCCAGAACCATATAGAGCTTTATAGGTCAAAACCAGCACTTTGAATGTTGTGTCTTGTGTGACTGCACCTGACACTTTGAATGTCTTGTGTGACTGCACCTGATCCCTGATATATGTGTATTACAATGTTCTTAGTAAATAAAGCATTAAACACTGTTGACTTTGATGCCAGTGGTACAGGGAGTCCATAGCATAGTTTTGAAAAGTATTCCTATTTAATACCTCTACCTCTTTGGGGTCCCTGCGTCCCACAGCTATTTAACACCGAGATGCAGCCAACCAACAACTTTAGCCAAAAGGAAAGATGCCTTTCAAACTAAATAAGTGATCTCATGGAGAGCAATACCAAGGGGGCTGCTATGTTGTGTGGTTTGTCCAGCTGACCACCTCTCTTCCTACAGGATGGACCTTCCCCCCTCTCACAAACCTGCTCCCCCACCTCCCAAGAGGAAGCAAGACATGAAAAGTCACCTGACGGCAGAAGATATCCAGGTATCTCCCAGGCATTGGACCTCTGCATCCCAGGCAGATGTAACCATGGTTTTCCCCCCTAAGCCATTCGTTGGGATTGTTTTGTCCACCTCACTTGGGAAAGGCTTCAGATAAGAGGTAGGGGTAGAATGCAATGGGATGGAGACATGTCTCAGGACATCTACATTTTAATTCCCAGTAGCCTTTTAGAGAAGGTATCACAATGTGGGCATCCATTGACCTCTTGAGCCTACTGAAGAAACTACATCAAAACTCGTAATGTGATTTGAAGAAGTAAAGGAAGAGAGAAGTAAAATAGTGTGGCATCTCCTGTCCTTTCCAGTTATCCACAACTGTTTGCTCTTTCTGTTCTTTCTAGGAAGCCCTCTTAGATCAAACTATTAATGCATCTAACTTATTATTATCTAATTTAGTTATCAGTAGCTTTCCAGGGCTCATACAGAATGAAGACTTCCTCCATCATCTCCTACTTGGTCACATTTTAACTGGCAATGCCTCAAATTGGTCCTGGGACCTTCTATGTGTTCTGCCATTTTCCTGTGATCGGTATGGCAAATACAAGGGTTGAATGAAAAGTAATGCCTCCACCATCATAACTCCTCAACAGATGACAGTACTGGTATGTGGCAGGTACTGGCTTGTTCAGTAGACTCTCCTTTACAGTTCCATTTTGGTGGGAAGCCATAGCATTGAATGGTTGTGTTGTTAAAGTGCAAAGTATGGAACCCTGCGCAGACTGTCAGTCAATGCGACTTAAGCAATGTGAAATCCATGAATTCTTGACAGCTGAAAGTGTCACCCCAAAGGAGATTCATCAGATAATGCAAGCTGTTTATGGTGATTGTGTTGATGGGTCACATTATTGCTTTGCTTGGCTATCAGAAGATCTGTGCATGATGGGTGCCCAGGATGAGAGAACTGTGAGACACTGGTTGCGGAAACAGAGTGTCAACTTCTTCCGTGACGGTTTCAGAAAACTTGTTCATCGTTGGCAGAAATGTATCCCATTGTCTGGTGATTATGTGGAAAAGTGGACAGTGGTAGCTAAAGAGCACATTCTAAAGATAATTTCTGTGTTTGATGTATTAAAATATTCCCATCCAAACCCAAGTAATGAAGGTGGAGGCATTACTTTTCATTCAACCCTCATATTTTGTACTTGATGCACCATCCAAATCACGAAGCGCTCCCCTTGGCAAAGAATCATTTCTCCTTATTCTGGCTGAAGAACCAGCTTTCCTTAATGGTCCCATCTTGAAAGAAGACATCCTGAAGAACATATCTTGGTGGACACTCCTTCCATCAGTGTCAGAGTTGAAGTGTATACTCCCATTGAATGAGATAAGGCCTAGATAAGGGTATGGGGTTTAAGACAAATGAAGGGTTCAAGCCTACTATGAATGCCAGAAAAGACTAGCATTGCCTAGACTTAATCTCAGCCCAAATAGAAGGTCTTCACTGAGGTGGTGCAATTGATTTGGATTAATTCTAAGACCAATTGAAGTCCTTCAGACCAATGTGGACCTAGTCTAGACTAGGTCAAGTTTGTTTGATTTGTATTCAGAATGGATCCAAATTAATCTGCACCAATCTGAAGACTCTGATGTAGATAGATAGATAGATAGATAGATAGATAGATAGATAGATAGATAGATAGATAGATAGATAGATCCTATAGATGAGAGAATAAAGCCAGCTGCAATGTATCCTATGGAAATAGTAAGATGGGTGTTACGGGAAGACAGACAAGGCTATTCTATTCTGAAACTAAGATGACACCATTGGTCTCCATCACTTAGTTTGCAAGGAAGGACTGTTTATATTCCATTACATTCTACAGCTCTTCATCCATTTGCTAGATCTAGCTATTAGGGCTTACTAACCAGTCATTCATACAGCCGTGGTGAGAGTTTTGGTGATTGTTGTTTGTCCACCAAGCTTGGTTTTTCAGTCTCTGTCTCTTCATCTGCCGATCTTTTACTTTGCTAATTTCAGCAGCTTAGCATAATCCTCTTTGGCCTTTCTTCTTAATTTTTTTCAAAGTGTGACTAGCAATCTGTTTATTTGGTATGTGTGTTCTAGGCAGTGCAAACTATTTTCCTACCACATCGGTCCTGATTTTTGTCCATTGTCCGATTTGCTTTGTCACTGTGATTTTAAACATTTCTCTCTTTCTTCTCTCTCTTTTCCCGCTTTCTCTGACTTCTTCTCAGAACTCTGTTTGTCTATGTGTGTGCAATTGTGGTGTTATCTGAAGTCTGCCGACAAGCCTATTTATTTTATTCACAAAGCACATATACTATTATTATTATTATTATTATTATTATTATTATTATTATTATTATTATATTGCATGTGTACTTCATACCGTGAAACAAAGCAAGCACTATTATTTTGCTGCCCATTTCATCCATATCTGTGGAGCAAAGCACTAAATTTAATTTCTCATTTGTTAAACTTATATATATATCATTTGCAGTTCCAACAGTTTCATTATTATTCCCATTATATCTGATCATTAGTTGAATGTGATCTATCATGAGGCATCTCCGCAGCCGTAATACTAGGACCAGAAGGAGGCCAATATTTTCGCCTCTATTCCCAGTAAGATTTTGAAAGGACTGACCTACAGACGTAGGATAATATTAGCGGAAACAAGTCAGAGGGCTCAATTTAGCCCTAGAAATGAAAGATAATCAGGAAGACATAGCACAATAACATCGTATCAAGGGCAGTTCCAAATATGGTAGGCAGTGTAGGTCATCACTCCAAAAAAAAAGGCAGAAGATTGCTGCTGAAATAAAATGGGTGTAGATCCCAGGATCGCTACCTGCCTTCATTGTAGTCAGAAAATGAGCAAGGGTCAATTTTCAGGACGTCACAGCCTGTTTTGACAGTGGTTTTGGTCAGGATGGAGATAGAGAAATCCCAGCAGATAGGTAGTATGGAAGCAACTCTCTATCCTTGACCCAAATATTTAGGGAAGAGGATGTGGTGCAGGGTCCGTTTGGAGTGATGAAATGGAAGAGTTCATTGTCAATCGAGTAGACTCTCCTCATTTGGGCTCAGCTTGACCAAATCTGTTTATATCTGATCTGGGCACATTATTGATATTGTCAGTAGTATTTCCTTGGAGGTATGCTGAGCCCAGGTACACTCATTGTATGCAAAGGAGAACACACTTGGTGTAGCACTGGGTAATTAAATGGTCCTTGCTGTGCTCTACAGGGCCGTATTTGAACTTTGAACCAGACCTCCAACTCTAGCAAACCAGGACTACCTGGAAAGGAGACTTTACTTTGACTTAAGTGCCTGATGCTCTGACTATCTTCCTGCATATCCTACTACCTCTGCCTATTACTACTACTGGCCCGTGACCACCTGGCAGCTCAGCACAACAAATGCATTTACTCATCATCAGATTGGATAGCCTTTCATTGCTCACCGTCAGTCTGCTTTGAGTTCTGCTGTGCGCTTAAAGACAAAGTGGCATTCTTTTATTGATTCATATATGGGGTGGAAGAAGAAAAGCCAGCCACTGGACAGCAGAGGAGGAAAGAGTGACCCTGACAGAACACTGGTCTCCAGGTGAGAAATAGGTCTCCATGAGCTGGAATCCTCCAATGTCTGCAGCTTCCATACCCTCCCACTCCTGGAAGGCAACTTCCAAGTGCTGAGGTACAATGCTGTGAGGTGTACAGGCAACTTTAGTTTGACAAAAGAATGGGCATTGCCCTTCCACATCTCCTGAAGATCTGGAAGGGCTATGCTAGTTCTATTCTGGCTGTAGCTGGGTGCTGCCTCCTATTAGCCTGTGAATGGCTGGTGGGTTGGGTTGAGGAATTGGAAGTTGTGCAAGAAGTTAGTGAATACCTCCTTCCACAACATCTAAATACCTCCTTCCACAACAAGATTGTATAATCCATGTCTGTCACCACCGAGTGGATCCTGGTCATGGTCTGGTCCTATTTCTTGCTTTGAGGCCTTTCACAAGGGCTGGTGGGATGGTGGGTGTTCTTCCCTCTGGTTGGGACAAAACCTTCAGACTGTGCTCGGGTTGGGATTGCTAATCTGCGCTTTGAACCTTACTTACCCCCCACCAACCGCAGGTTGTGCACCTGGACAACATGAAGGAACCTGAGGAGGAGATCCAGAAGTTGCCACCACAGCCCCCCTACTACGACATGGCTGCCACTGAGCCTTCCCCTCAATCTGACAAGATGGTAAGGATGGAGGGCAGGATAAAGACTTGCCCTTGCTCTGCCTCCTCAATTCTGCCCTTTATGTCAACTGGAGGGTCAAACTGATGGACTCGCTAAGTTGCTATGACTCCTCTTCTAGCTGAGGAATTGGAGTCAGCTCTACTATAAATCTCCATGAGCTAGTTCCTCCATGTAGCAGATGTTGCTATGATAAGGAAGAACTGTGAGATATATTGTGTGTTAATCCAATGGACCTAAAATGACCTGTCATGGTCCCCTTCTATAGAATCAATGGATTTGTAGCTGTAGGAGAAAACATGGGTTGTCAACTAGATAGCTCACCTAATGTACTTCAGGGGGTATCAGACAGTTCTAAGAACCTGCCTAGAGTACAAATCCCAGGATAATGTAGCAGTAACATCAAAGCTGTAAAACTAGTGTGAATGTACTCCAGGTGGACATCATTCTCTACCTGGCACTGATGTAAGATTCTTTCGTATGTTGAATGCTGGTTGTGGAGTGGGAACATCTTGTCTTTTAACCTCAGGAAGTGATTTGTCTTGTGCCGATCCCAGTCAAGTTCCTCTTCTGGAAAGGAATTTCAAGAACATCCTTTATTTGGTCTCAAATTCCTGATTACTTGTCTTGAAGGAAGAAGGGGAGTGCCACAGATGTAGGAGGTCGATGCTGTGTGGTTCTGTGTCTTGTCAAGAATAGAAATAATAGAATTTCTCAACCACACCATACCAGACAGAAGACGCTAGGGCCATAGCATGGCCTATGAGTTGGCCAGTCATCTCACTTTGGTAGAGGCACTGGTTTCTGCCAATCTCCACTGTGTGTTGCCTTGAGTATTTGGGGAGAAGGCATGCTAAATCTTAGATGGTTGTAGGACCATCGATCAAGGGACGATGCAGAAGAGATAGAGAAAGCCTCTTTTCTACAACCAAGTGAAGAATTTTGGATCTAAGGGAGCCAAAGAGATATGAAGAGAAAGAATGAGCAAGGAAAGAGAGAGAATGGAAGCTTGGCAGACAGGTTATCTACCAGGACGAGCACACTGGCGCTTCCCAATTAAATGAGGACAGTGCTTTTCAGCAAGGCCTTGTTTTGCGGGAATCTGTTTCAGCTCCAGACAGGAGGATGATAATGTAAAGCAGCCATAGCAGCTGCTGCGGCAGGGAGATTAAGAAGATCAGACCAAGCAGAATGGGGTTTAGCATAGGTGCAGGCAAGAGGGCAAGAAGGAATATAGAGCATGCGAGGCAAAGGATGGCATAGAAAGAAGCCCTAACCCTTTCCAAATCCAGATGTTCAAAGCTCTTTAGAAGGGTGACAGCAACAAAGTTCTGCCCATCAGACTTGAAAACAAATAGGCATTTGCCTATTTGGCAACTTTCCCAGGTTGCCAAACAAACACACCCAACAGAAAGCCTAGATCAGAGACATAGCAGCACTCAAGAAGCCTTTCATCCATGGACTGGATTTGGACCTCTTGTGAGCATGGTGCTTATACAACCACATTCATACATATGCAGTGTTTAATGCATAATTTAGTATAAGACATGATGTATGGGGTTTTGATCATGTTATCGTGCATGATGTAGTACAATAATGTTATGGCTATATTTTAACCCTTTAGGGCAGTGGTTCTCAACCTGGGGTCCCCAGATGTTTTTGGCCTACAACTCCCAGAAATCCCAGTCAGTTTATCAGCTGTTACGATTTCTGGGAGTTGAAGGCCAAAAACATCTGGGGACCCCAGGTTGAGAACCACTGCTTTAGGGAAGGACTCAGATTTCTCCACCCTGCTCAGGTTCTGAAATAGGACAAGTTTGGGCAGCTTCAGTGTGCCAGCTCAAGGCTCCGATGACCCCCGCCGCCAATGCCAACCGTGTTGTGCCACTCCACTTGCTCTGCTGGCTGGCTCCTTTTCCAGCTGACATCTAATCGTCAGCAGCTCTGGCAGGACTGACCTTGAAGGAGCATTTCCTCCACCTCTTTTCCTCCTCCTCCTCCTGCCAGGAGGTGGATCCCAGGGGCTCTGACAAAGGCAGATAAAGGACGCTGGCAGGAGGGCAGGCAGCCTTATTATCAGGAAAGGAACAGGGGCTTAAGGCCTTTGTGTGGCAGAACAAGAGGGAGAACATGGTACCAGCTCATAGGTCCTCGTGTCTGCCCTTGTCACAATGGGCAAGGGAAGCATCCTTGTCATTGGGTTGGGCAAAGGGCTGGTAAATGTGCTCAGGGTTATAATCTAAATCTTAACTAAGGCACTAAGCTTGTTTGGGGGTTGCAATGAGTACCACCCAGTGCCTTGGATAGCACCTTTAACATTCAGACTAAAGCCTTAAAGTTTCAAACCATGAGATAGATCCATTCCTTCCCCCAGGGTTCTTTGCTCCCAATTGGAGAAGGTAGATGGATGATATTCAGCCCTGCCCCCCCCCCCCACCCAGAGTATTTGCTATACATTACCATTCTCTTCTGAGTTGGGGGTTATAACAGAATGCCCTTTCCCTCCTCCTCTTTTCTCCTTGTGGGTTTCTGTTTCGTGTCAGGAGCGACTTGAGAAACTGCAAGTCGCATACAGTGTGAGAGAATTGGCCGTCTGCAAGGACGCTGCCCAGGGGACACCCGGATGTTTTAATGTTTTACCATCCTTGTGCGGAGCCCCAGTGGCATAGTGGGTTAAACCCCTGTGCTGGCAGGACTGAAGACCAACAGGTCGCAGCTTTGAATCTGGGGTGAGCGCGGATAAGCTCCCTCTATCAGCTTCAGCTCCTCATGTGGGGATGTGAGAGAAGCCTCCCACAAGGATGACAAAACATTAAAACATCTGGGTGTCCCCTGGGCAACGTCCTTGCAGATGGCCAATTCTCTCACACCAGAAGTGACTTGCAGTTTCTGAAGTTGCTCCTGACACAACAAAAAAACCAAACCAAACAAAAACATCCTTGTGGATGGCTTCTCTCATGTCCCTGCTTGGGGAGCTGGAGCTGACAGAGGGAGCTCATCCGTGCCCGCCCCGGATTTGAACCTGTGACCTATTGGTCTTCAGTCCTGCCAGCACAAGGGTTTAACGCATTGTGCCACTGGGGGCTCCATGGGGTACAGTAGCAAGACAACTCCATGGTGTTATTTTACCACTGCTCCCTCTCCATTGAAGAATCCCACTGAGATAGAATTGGGAAAAGGATGAGAATGTCAGAGTTCTTCTTTTGTTTTTGGCCATCTCAGTGGGACAAAAATATGCCACGTGAATGGCAAACTTGGGGATCATGGCTATGGGGCAGTGGAATTGTGAAAATGCTGTGGAGATGAGGTGATGCTTTTGCCAATTAACATGCCAAATAAACCATTTTAACCCTTTGGAAGTGCAAGTTGAAGGCCACCATCTTCAGGTGTCTCTCCAGACAAATTCTTTGCTTAGAACTGGAGAAATGCCAACCAAGTAGGTGAGCCACCTTTGCTTCAGGTGGCAAACTATCACAAGGGTAGCCCTGGCCACAAGACTTTGCAGAGAAGAGCTTCTCCCTGTTGTATTTCTCTGCCCAAAGGGCGTAGCAGGGAAAATACAAAACGAAGAAGGGTGTCTGGTGGCATGCCATAGAACTGCATATCTAAGAATGGAACAGAAGCCTTCCACTACCTTGCTGTGGAAGAGAGAGGAAGAGTGTGTGCCAAGCGGAGATTATGGTCTTCTGAGACACTCAGAGCCAATTACTCAGCAAATCAGTCCTTCCGGCAAGATGCTCGAAAGTGCTTGTTACAGATCCATAAACCACTTTGAACGGCCTCCCCTCAGCTGGCAAATGGCTGCGAACCATTTGGAAAACAGGCAGGGGATGTTGTCTGCAAGGAAATACTATTTGCATAATCTCTGTAGTGGGGAAAGGCAAAGGCAAAAGAAAGGTCTAAAGATGCATGCGACTTCGGTGCCTCAAAGTTGAGACCCATTTCTGAGTATGTTTGACCAGCTGATTCCAAAAATAGCACCAATTTCCCTGATCTAATTTTTGAAATACAGAACATATGACATATACCACTCTTGATCTGCTCACCCATAAAAGAGCATGATAACCCTCTCGAAGGAACTAGAAGCAATGCAATTTTCTAATCAGTGTCCCAAAGAATGCCAGAACAGGCCTCAAAACCAAGACACCACCAACAAAAAAAAATTTTTTTTTTGTTTTTTTGTAATGTGGTACACTGGCTTCATCAAGAATGTAACCCAAACTTTAAAACTGGGGAGAAAGAAACTTCTTTGATCAGCCCCCTCGCTCTCCATTTGAATGGTAGGAACATCTGATTTAGCCAAATTATTTTCCGAGAAGCCGATTTACAAATTGCCGTAATAGAACTGTTTTGTTTCAGCGGAGGCTTTCAGGGCTTGCAGCCCATTTTCCCAAGTGCATGGACAGTTTCGTAGGGACATTTCATCCTTTACCGCAGAGAAACAAAACTGAAGATGCTTTTAGGAGACCAATAAGAGGCATTTTTAACAAATGGGTCTTACGCACTGTGCAGAATGGTTTTTTTTTTTTACTCTGCCTAGGTTCACTGCATTGACCTCATAAGATGCTAGAGTTTCCCACTTGAATAATAGGAACATGCAATAAGGAAAAAATCATTTAATTGTATAGGAGCATATGTATGAATGTTTCAAGACCAATACATATATAGATGATAGCGATAGATAGATAGATAGATAGATAGATAGATAGATAGATAGATAGATAGATAGACAGACAGATGGATAGACGGATAGACGGATAGACGGATAGATGGACAGACAGATGGTAGATAAGTAGGTAGATAGGTAGATAGATGATATACACAGAACAAGGGATAGATAGATAAATGATTAGATAGATAGATAGATAGATAGATAGATAGATAGATAGATAGATAGATAGATAGATAGATAGATAGATAGATAGCCTGGGCAATCCATGGTTCTATATGGTTCTAAAGTACTTACAAAACTGAAGTTCTGGTGGTGAAAATTTCAAAACTCT